TTAATTAATTAATACATAATAATAAAATTAATATATTGATATATTGATATATATTATATTGCTAGTTTTGTAAACTGGCAAGGACTGCTTAAAGAAATTTTACTTACAAACATAGAAGCACATCTTACGTGACGTATTCAAACAGGTACGTTTAAGTTATTGTGAATAAATTAACTTCAAAGAGGTTAACTTGCTACAGAAGGCAATCAAGGGCGAAAGAGGCTCGACATCTAACCGATGAGAGGGCGGGGCCAACTGCCAAGTATACCCAATGAGAGAATTCTCTTAACCCTTTCCCTCCCAGACCCTCTTGCATGCAGTTACAATATCCCAACATTTTCTTCTCTAGGAGTCTACTTTGACAGCTGTGTCCAACAGATCAAGTTCGTCGACTTCTGTGGGAAGTACCGCCTTCCGCTGATGCACTACCTGTGCTCCCCGGAGTGCTCCTCCCCCTACAGCTCCGCCTCCCAGAGTTCCACTTCCCAGAGCGAGTCTGACTCGGAAGACGAAGCCATCGTCGCCGCGCGCCGCATGCAGAAGGTTCTGCTGGGGTGAGAGGGGATGGCAGAAGCCCGGAAGGGAACGGAGTGCGAGAAGAGCAACTGCGGGACGACAGTGTCGGAAGACCCTTTCCAAGGAGCATCGCGAAACATTAAGTTGACTTGCCTGCGCTCTTGTCACTCATGAAAAGAGTATCTTGACAGATGTTGAAGTGGTTCCGGTGTTATGCTGCTGAAGACGCCCAAGTCATTGTCTGCTTTCGGGGGGAAGGAGGGGAGCTGGCACGGGAACCGTCTGTAAAGATGTGCATTACAAGAGTGGGCGGGAGGTATCGGAGGCCTTGTTAAAAAGGGTGCCTTAGAGCCCTTCACTACTGAGACTGATACGAAGAGGACCATTTCTGAATCACGTCACTGTGATGAAATAGTCCCAGGAGGGTGGTGGGTGGGAATCCCCCAGGGGAATTGTACTTGAACTCGTGTTTCTTTCCCCCCCCCCAGAAGTGCTTAGTTGTTCTCTCTATTTATTTTTTGCCACAAAAACATATTAATTTTCTTATTCTCTTTGGACCTTGCTGTCTAGGACCAGTGTTCAGTTCTAGAGAGAGAGAGAGCTATGCCTTCCTTTTTATATATAGCTTTGGGAATATCTTTGGTGCCTTGGTCCTGCTCTGCTCGTCTCTTCATAGGAGCTGCCGCGTCAGCTGTTTGTGACACGTGCCTCTAGCTATGCAGACGCTCTTTTTTGCCTCTAGCTATGCAGACTCTCTTCATGGGCCTCTAGGAGAACTTTTCCTCACTTTGTTTTAAGTACATCTCAAGTTGCTGGATTAAAAATCCTCGTTAACCAGTAAAGTACTAAATTTGGATTACACTTCAGCTCGTTTTGCAACCAAGTGCCATTATTTCACAAGCTTCCATTTCCTATATCTGTCAAAGGGCATAATTCCTTACCCAGAAAAGGAGGATTTCTTAGTACCTGTACCGATATCATTCTGAAAAGTCAGACTAGCCGCCTGTACTACTTGCTTCCATCTCTCTCCCTCCCTCCTTCCGCCGTCAAGTCATTCATGTTGTTTGCTGAGCCATCTCTTTTTGTCCTTCTTGTCCTCCCACACTCCTGTAGAACTGAGCCCTCCATCCGCACCCTTTCCCACTTCCCCATTGACTGATAGGCATGGTGTTCAGCCTCCAGAGCAAATATGAAGCAATGGAAGGTCACACAGGTTGGATGTTTGCTAGGAGTGTTGTGAGCACAATATAATATATACTGGTGATCCTTTCACAACCATTTTCTAGTCAAGCTCGTTGCAACGAGTGTGCTGATTCAGAGAAGGAAAGTCTAGTTTTGTCCAGATGACAGGATACTGTTTGATGGCTCTCCTGTAGCGGAAGACCTGCCTTGAGGAAATACACTGGGATCCCCTTTGGAAACATGGAAGGCAAACTTGTAGGGAGAAGGCAAGGAGAGAGTGTGTTACAGGGTGGAAAATGAAACCTGCTTCTTCCCTAGCACAAGGTTATTTGGTGGACTCCCAGGAGGGACCTCTGTTCCTCTAGTAGTCGGAAGCGCTGTCCATTTGATAACTTCCGCGAGCATATTTTCAAGTTAAACTTCTTTGCAACTTGTTCTTCATAAAATTAAACCCTGGCGATTTAAGCAGTGAATGAACACCTTCTAATGTATTTCCATGTTAGTGACCCTTATGGCATGGAGTCAAAGCCAGACAAGTGTCTTTTTATTTATATATATATAAAAATTATAATAATCAGAACATCAATATTAGAGTTATAACAATAATACAGTATTACACCAGCAGCACCTCAAGACAACAGTCTTTAAAACCACCTGTAAGCAATAATCATGCAAAACAAACGCAACGATCACCAAGCTATTATAGTAAAATGAGGTCTAAATAGCATATCTTTAGAGCTAAAAAGAAAACGAGAATGTAGAAGAATGTGATTATAGTACTTCTATTCCACATCACTTCAGAGGAGAGATGATATATAGTGGTACCGATGTTTTTTCAAACCATAATTTTTCAACTTCATATCCTGAGCTGTGAAATCCAAAAAGGGAAACCATTTTTCTGTTAGACTGGAAAGACCAAGATGAGGTTCAAATTGGGAAACAGAATCTGCAATTTTGTCCATTAAAAAAAATTCCCAGGCCTTTAAGTACCAATTTTCTGTAATTGGTAAAGATGGGCTTTTCCACTTCTGAGCTATGAGGCATTTAGCAGCAGTTAGTAGGATAGTGATTCTTGGTGTATTTTAGGGCGATCGGAATTATCCGACATATTAAATAATAGTATTTCAGGTGTATTTGGGATGGTATAACCAGTTATATCTCAGATATGATTCAGTATAACGATCCAAAAGTGTATAACATTGGGTCGCTGATGCATTTTTGGGTCCAGAGGAAAAATGAACAAGAAATCTTATTACATAAAGGATTCTTGTGTAAAATCTAGGAAAGTAGCATTCAGAAACACTAAATGCTTTGTGCAATAAAGGAAAAAGCTTAATATTCAAAACTAAGCGGTAACCCTTCCCTTGTAACTCTTGGTACACTAGGAGATAGATCAAGATGGGCAGCTAGGAGATTATTCTGATCCAAACTGTTGTATTTTCTTTAGAAGCTTGATTGTCTGCAGGCACTTTTACAGCTTTGTCCAAACGTCTTCTGATCATTCCAGCAGATACTAATTCCCTTATTTTATCTCCATTGCATTTAGGAGTGGAAAACGGTCGAAGCTCTTTGTGTGTTAAATAACCCCCATCTCTCTCTAACCACCATCTCCCCCTACCGTGCCTTCTTTCCTTGTCTGTTTAGCCAAGAACAGTGGGTGGGTGTTGCTAAATGTGAGCCCACCGTGCTGAGACCAGTAGGGAATGTTTTTTAAGTAACAAAATAGCCGCTTGGCTGGAAGCAATTAATACAGTTTCCACTCTCTCTGTGCTTCTCCGCGTTGAGGATTTGCCGCCCCGTGGAGTACTCCTGCGGTCCTTCTCACGCATCTCTCTCTGTGACCTTTCTGCTCCCATCTTTGAAGTCTTGGTAGGGTCCCTTGGCAAGATGAAGATCTCGGCCCTTTTGAATTTAACGGGGAGGGATCTGAACTCAATTGAGGTAATGATGAAACTTAATCCCTAACAGCGCTTCTTTGTTCACTGATTTCAAAGAGTCGTTTTAATGCATCTTAATTGCTCCAGGGAGAAGTGTCTCCCCCCCCCCCTCGCTCGAATGCTCTCAGAACGCTTGTAAAAAAATGTCTCGGGTGTTATTCTTGTGCTTTCGCACACTCCAGTCTTCAACTTTGCCATCAACCGGACGCTTGCCTGTCTGCCCAACTTGATTGCACTAGGAACTCTGGGAAGGGAAGGGTTTTGTCCACCTCTCTCCGCCAATGTAATCATGTGCCTTGCATTTTCTCTACTGAGTTTTTTAAATGTGCCTTAACGTTTGTTAATCTTAATACTTTGGCAGGGGCGTGGAGTATTCCTAACAGTATTTCATTATGAATTATAAGCTGCTTTTGAACACAACCAAAAAACCCAAAACGCTTAAACCCTGCCTCTGTTTTTCATTTGTTACAACACGTGTGGCTGCGTGAGGGAGCGGAACAAAATTATAATTCCCAAATGACATGGTGTGACTGTATGCCAGTCCCCGCCCCGTTGTCCTCTGTCTACACACAGGTTTTGAGTTGCGTGTTTGCCCTTTTCACTCAGCGGGTAATTAAATTGGGGGATGCACTGGAGAATGTGCTGGCTGTGAGTATAGATGGCTTTAAAATGGGGTTAGGCAAATTCACGGAAGAGAGACCCATCAGAGAGAGAGGAAGAGATTGTAGTTATACCCCGCCCTTCACTACCTAAAGGAGTCTCAGAGTGGCTTACAATCCCTTTCCCCTCCCCTCCCCACAACAGACACCCTGTGAGGTGGGCGGGGCTGAGAGAGCTCTTTCGAGGACTGCCCTTGAGAGAACAGCTCTGAGAGAACTGTGACTGACCCAAGGTCACACCAGCAGCTACATGCGGAGGAGTGGGGAATCCAACACAGTTCTCCCAGATTAGAGTCCACGTTCCTAACCACTACACCAAACTGGCTCAGTGGCTACTAGTGTGGGAAGTAAAGGGAACCTGAATATTCAGAGGTAGCAAACCTGAATACTAGCACTAGGAGGCACCAAGTAGAACAGGGGGTCCTCGACCCCTTTTGAGCAGGTGGGGGCACCTTTGGAGTTCTGCCACAGGTTGGTGGGCACAACTACAAAATGGCTGCCACGGGAGATGGGGCCACTCACAGAACAATCAGGGGGCTAGGTGATGCATAACTCTAATAGTAACTCAGCATCTCAAATAGATCGGTTTAACGTGAACATACTTTTCCCCCCTTCAATGTGCATAGCTGACCTTCGGTCCCACAGTGAAGATCCTTGTGGTGTGGTGGCAGCTGCTGCAAAAGCAACATGTTTAAAGAATTTATTTATTCAAGTGTGTGTGTGTATATATAGATAGATAGATATAGTGTTTGACTGTCTCCTATTGATCACCATTATCTTACCAGGTTTCTAGTATGCGGGGGTCATTTCGTAGAGAAAGGTGCAGCAGCTCATTAACATAAATCATTAGCATAACTTATTTGCATATGTCACACCCCCTGACATCACCGGAAGTGTGTCAGAAGGCAACACCCACCGCTCAGGCTCCATTGGGCTGTTTTGGATTGCTAGCTATTGGGGGGAGGGAGGGAACGTGCAGATCTGTCCTCATAGAGGAGGGAGAGCTTGTGCCTAAATAAAACTTGGTCTTAAAGGTGCCACTGGACTGTTTTGGATTGCTAGCTATGGGGGGGGGAAACGTGCAGATCTGCCCTCGAAGGCGGGCCGGGGGGGGGGCTCTGCAACTTACCTGACTGCTTCTTGCTCCTTGTGGCCCAGCTGAGGGTTGCTGGGAGCAAGGGGCGGGGCTTGTTGCATGTGCCCACCCCCTGGGCTCCTTACTGCCGGAGCTCCGCTCTTCTACGCTCCCGCAGGAAATGACCCCTGCTAGTATGCCCATTTGTTATCCCAGAGATTTTTACCAGCCTCCTTCCCTTTGCCCTCAAATATTTCCTCACCCACCCAGCTGAGAGGAGCATAACTGTGGAATGCGGTCTCCTTTCAAGTGCGGAGGCGACCTTACAGCCAGTGTTCCTTCTAAGCTGAGTTAGTGTGAGCTAGCTTACAGTTTTTTAGCCTCCGACTCACACGTTTTTGCCTTAGCTCAGGAAGGAGGGCTTCAGAGCAAACTAATTTATGTAGCAGCCAAATTGCTTGCTCACAGCTTTAATGCCAGTAGTCCACAAAGTAGATTTCTTTGCTCACAAGACTCCACAGCTTAGAGGGAGCATTGCTTACAGTGTCCTCTTCTTTGAGGTGGGTGACTGGCCGTGCAGTGTCTCTCCTCTGCCCCCAGACCAGAGAAAATACATTCCAATCTACCACTCCAAATTACATTACATTCTACGATTCATTACATTAAATTACAATGTGCCACTCCAATCTGCTATTCCAAAAAAGAAGTGAAATAAAGAGGAGGTCTACCCGTATGCCTGATGGCACTCATTAAAAGGTCTTACTAAGAGTTGTGTTCCACTGTGCCTAGGCACAAACTCCCCAAGAGCCTGGCTGTGTCGAATGTGATGCGGTGGTGGTTCTTTGTTCTCTGACATCAAAGTGCCTCTTTT